GAACATATTAATACTAATAAACTTTGGATCAATATGATATCTAATAAAATTATAACAATAATATAATTACATTCAGTAAATATAAATATTAACCTTAATTGTTACAATAAATTTTGAAAGATATTGTTAACAATGTAATTTTGTTATGATAAATTTTGAAGGATATTGTTGACAGTGCAATGTCAATTAAAATTGTTGTGATAAACTTCAAAGGATATCTTTAATAGTGCAATGTTAATTAAAATTGTTATGATAAACTTCGAAAGACATTGTTAACAATACAATGTCAATTAAAATTGTTGTGATAAACTTCAAAAGATATTGTTAACAATACAATGTCAATTGAAATTCCTGCAATAAACTTCGAAGGATATCGTTGACAGTACAATGACAATTGAAAATCATAGTAATATAAATGTAAGTGATGACTATTGAAACAATATATTATGAATATTTAACATAAGCAAAGGTTATTGATACAAAATTACCATGAAAATGATAATATTTGCAAAATTTCACATATGAAAATATTAAAATTGATAACTTTCAAAAGTTATCAATATGAATTTACTATGAAAATGATAATATTCGTAAAATTTTGTTACATGAAAATATCAAAATCGATAACTTTCAAAGGTTAGTGAAAATTATACTTGTATGTAAAATTATTTTAAGGTTTCGAAATTACAATTTCAGAAAAAAAAGTCAAATTAGTTTTTCATAGAAAACAAAATTATTTTATTTAAAATCCAAAATTTTTTGATCATCTAGATTTATTCTTTGATTGAATATATATATAACAGGATACTTTTTTTACTTTCATATATAGAATAGATTCTATATAAATCTCAAAAAGACAAAATATCTCAAAAATTCAAAATCAATTTTGAGAACATATATAGTGAAAACCTTTGAAAGATAATATATTGAAAAATAGTGAAATACTTATGTTAACATTAACTTTCGAAAGTTTTCACTAGAAAAAATTTCCTGATGTAAAAAATAACTTAAAATTTTTAGAGTTTCTTCATAACCTATATTAGGAAGTATCTTATACTTAAAATTAGTCAGGATTACCAATTTGATATATAATATATTACATGTGAATTCATAACAAAAATTCATCAGATTATCAACTCAATATGTGATAGTTTGAGTGTGGCCAAAAATATAATATAGACCATATTATACATATTTCCAAAATTGATTTTGAATTTTTGAAGTATTTTAACTTTTTGAGATTTATGCAAAATCTATTCTATATATGGGAATAAAAAAAATATCCAATTATATGTATCTTTAATCAAAGAATAAATCTAAATAATCAAAAAATTTTGAATTTTAAATAAAATAATTTTGTCTTCTATGAAAAACTATTTTAACTTTTTTTCCTGAAATTGTAATTTCAGGGTTTCAAAATAATTTTGTATGTAAGTATAGACCACATACCAATGTGATGATTAACTGTATATCCATATAACCAAATCTATAAAATACATTACCTTCGAGTATGACCAAAATTATAATATAAACCATATACATAACCTAAACTAAGTGGAAATAATATAATTATATTATTTCTACTAATGAATTGTGCTTATATATACAGAAGAGAATTTTTTTATGAGTTTATAGTAATTGATTTTAAAATAGGTGTGTTTGTAAAGAGAATTTTTATATTATTTTGTTATAGAGGGTAGCTATAGAAAGATCTGACTATATGTAATTAATACTTATTAGCATATATGTTTATTATGAATCCTTTTTCAAAATTTAATTCATTTACAGGTTTTGAAAATTGATAAGTTGACTTTTATAAATTGCTTATAATAACTAAATGTTATTATTTTTGATTTTCTAAAAAGTTTCAAAATATTTATATACAATTCTTAAAAAATAAGTCAAGGAGTATATTCTTGTAATTAACTTTGGAGCATTTTTTATTGTATTCCATTTAATTCATTACACATTCTTATTTGACAAAATCAAGATTAAGTAAAGTATGTAAATTTTATTTTTTGTTAAGTAATATTTAACTTTTTAATTCATAATTAATTATACATTAGATTATTTAATAAATGCAGATACCTTTTTAGTTGAATGTAGACAAAAAGTAAATAATAACTATCTAAAATTGAACAGACATACTTTCTAAAATTGCTTTTTGATTATAATTTATATATCAATATCGAAACTTTTAAAGCATCAAAAATGTAATTTTGATATCTTTTTACTTGTTCTTAAATGTTCTACATTATACTCTGAACAATAATTCATTTTTGATAATTATGTGATTAAAGAAACAAAAAAAAAATTAACAAAAAAATATATATAGTATAGTAATCCTTTCAATATATATGTATTTGGTCAGGTGTTTACAATAGTTGAAAATGAAATTGCTTATGAAGTTTATAAGCAATCTGATATTTTTAGTCTAAGGTTTACTAATTAAACTAATTTTAATATAAATATTATTACCCAACACCAACTTGGTATAATCTAAATAAAGAAGATGTCATTTTTCAACAGGATAATGATACCAAATATACTGTCAACTTACCTATGAATGGTTTGAGGAAAATGACATAAAAGTACTCAAGTGGCCAGTTCAATTCCCAGATCTAGATCCCATTGTACATTTATAGGATAAAATAGAAGATTGAAGAAACTTTCTGTAAAAGTTACAAAGAAAGATGAGTTGTGGGAACAGATTCAAGATATGTAGAATGGTACTAAATTAATTGAGTCAATATCACAAAGATTACAAGATGTGGTGAAAGCAAGGGAAGGTATACAAGATGTTAATGTATATCAATTAATTAGAATAGACATATATTTTGTTTAGATTTATTTTTTTTTTTGAAATAAATTAAAAAATGTAAATATTTTAAAACCACATATACTGTATAATGCACCACAAAAAATTCAAATAAACAAATATATTTTTTAATTAACTTACAATAAATTATATTGATATAAAGTATAAAATCAAGGTCATTTAATAAATAAAAATTTATTATTATAAGTTTTATACTTCTTGAGTTATATTAATTTGAAAATTGCTTTTAAAATGATGTATTACTTTTGTGAGTCACTGTAAGCTATCAATTTTATGTGATATTTTTTCAAATAATACATTTTTCCAAAAGTAGATACCTTTTAAAGTTGACCTAAATTTTGTCAAGTTAAGACATAAAACACTATATTTATATTTTTTTGACCAAACTCTTAATAAACAAGTGTCACCTGACCTCAAAACCCATGAAAATGATTCAAAAACCCATGTGCCCTATCCCACCCTACGAAAACCTATTTTACTTTTCTAATGCTAAACATTGTAGTTTTGTCTTATTTTATTATTATTATTATAATTTTATTAGTAAAAAACAACTTTACTTAGTTGTTTGCTTAGAGCAGAGGTCGTGTAACAAGATTATCTGTTAATCACATTTTTTAACTCTCCCGATAACATCATTTATTATTTGCTCAATTCTTAAGAAATAGGTCTGAAATTTTATAGGTAATGCGCAATATTTTAAATTTTAAGTATTTTATTAGTAAAAAATAAGCTTTGGATTTTTTATTCCAAAAAGTAGATACAGTATATGTAAAGTTATAGTTCTTGTTCTACAAATGATATAAAACACCAATAAGCGGACTTGACATTTTCAGACAATTTAAATATTAAAACGCACATTCCGTAATTTACACATGTATTATCCTAGAAAATGAGTCATATGAAAATCTCACTATCGATTTTTGACAAATATATGATCTGCATTTAAAATTATTTGTATGAGCGGAAAATCACTAAAATTACTAGAATTTTCGTGGTATTTTTTCAAAATATATTTCTCTTTTGAAATAATCCTAACCTTGTGTGGATAAAGGGATAAAGGCATTTAATAAATAAATGATCTGCATTTAAGAAAATTATTTGTATGAGCTAAAAATTAGAATTTTCGTGGCATTTTTTAAAATGTATTTCTCTTTTGAAACGATTCCAGCTTTTGTGTGGGTATTCATAGCTACCTATGTTGTTTATTGGATTAAGAAGCCAAGATTAAGCAAAGTAAGAAATTTTTTATTTTTTTTGTCATATAATATTTAGTTTTTTAATTCATTCTTTTTTTTTTCTTCAGAATGAACCTCCTATGGTTCCTTATAAAATTCCAATAATTGGCCATACGTTAGATTATTTGTTTAATGCCGAAAAATTTTTGGCCAAATGTAGACAACAAGTAAATAATAATATAATAATTCATTCCTAATATTCATGAACGATTAAAAAAAAATAAATTAACGAAAAAAAATGCATATAGTACGGTGATCCTTTCAATCTATATATATTTGGTCAAGTGACTACTATAGCCGGAAACGAAATTGCTCATGAAGTTTATGGGCACTCCGATACTTTTAGTATGACCAACGCTACGCGAGACGTAAATAAATTTACAACTAATCAATCAATTATTTCAAATATCAAATACCGTATTTATTTTAGATATTATACTTATTATATTGTATTTATATATTATACATGACCAACTTAGTCATTTCCTTTGTATCGTATTTTAAAAAGTATTGAGAAGACTGACACGTTGAAATTAACGGTCAAAGCGATACGTGAAGGACTTACTGCAAAATTACCTTCATTCACTGAAAGAGTGCAAAAAACACTTATGTTTTCTATTAATCAAGAAATTGGGGATTGTTCTCGTAAGTCACTTTTGTTCTTTTTGGTTTATTTTCTTGAAATAATAATATTAATTATTATTTTATTTGTTTAGAACCTAAATTAATTAACACAACGAATAATTTCTCAAGAATGGTTGCCCGTTCAGTAGCCGATGTTTTGGTTGGACAAGTAAGATAAATTGTAATTATAAATATATGGAATAATGTCTTAATATCTAATCTTTAAATTATATTAAAGGAAATATCAAAAAATGAAGATGTGGTCAATGCTTTTGCTGATTTTACCAAAGATTTTACATCAATTGTCGCAATACCTCCTATTTTTTCATTCATTCATCCAAAAGTCCATACCCAAATTATCACTTTACCACTTAGATTTGGGTTTAATCCAATTTTGAAACATTTGATTACTTTAAAAAAACATCTGAAACCTGTATTAGAGAAAAGATTGAAAGATAAAGAAATTCTTGGTGATAAATATGAACCACCTGTAAGTATTTAAAAAAATTTAACATAACTAACAAACTTCAACACTATTAAAGAAAAATTAATTCTATTTAATAACAACAGCTGGATATAATTGAATATTTTTTGAATAATCTTGAAAGCGAAACAAAAGTTATTACTGATGATTACTTAGATAAAATCTGTGATTTTATATTTATTCTCGTTATTGCCTCTATTCATACTACTTCTCATCATACTACTTTTGCTCTTTATGGTAAAAAAAGAAAAGATATTTTTATATTCATTAAATCAGTTTTATATAATTCTCACTCAATTTATAATTAATATTATTTTTATGTTTTATAATAGATTTTGCGGGAAGACCAGAATTATGGGATGATCTTTATGAAGAACAAGTGAAAATTGATAAAGAATGTAATGGAGAATTAACACCTCAACACATTAACAAAATGGTGAAATTGGATAGTTTTCTGAGAGAATCTTTAAGGACTTTTGGTTCTATTGGTATATAAATTATATATATATATATTATATATATAAGACTAAAGAATAATAATGAGATATTTTTTAAAAATAGCTGCCAATCCCCACAGAAGTTTCGAATCATATACATTTAAAAATGGCACAACAATTCCAAAAGGTACCATTCCATTTTAGAAATTTTCTTTATTATTTTATTTTAATAATCTTTTCCATTTAATAATATTGAAAACATTAATATTTTTTTTTTTAAAAAATAAATATCTGATCTGATAGGTCGTATAGTTCAAACTTATTTATCGGATATTCATTACAATACCACAGCATATGGACCAGAACCAAGGTCATTCCTTCCTTATCATGGTTTGGAAAATAATTTTCCTGCATCAAAAACTGATAAAGATTATTTTGTATTTGGTGCAGGAAAACATGCTTGCCCTGGAAGGTTAGTATTTTAAAATTATTTGGTTAATTAATGTTTTATAATTTTTGATAAATATTTATTAATTAAAATTAATTTTTTTTTTAAACAGATTTTTTGCTGTACATGAAATTAAAATTGCTTTGCATAAATTAATTTTAAATTATCACATTAAGACACCAAGTGGAAAGATTGAAAAAAAGATACATGTTGGACCTTTGGCTTTACCACCAAATGCTGGATTAATTTTCGAGAGTAGAAAAAAATAAATAAAAAAATTTCATTCAACTAAATTTTCTGAACTTTAGGGATCCAGCTAGCTAAATTTTTTCCCATTATTTCCAATATTTTACTATAATCTATATAAAATATAATATAATACATGTTTATAATAAAGATTCCTTTTAATTTTATTTTTTTATCACGATATATCTAGTTTGCGCTAATTTGCTATATCAATGCACAATAGAATATCCTTATCTTAATAATATTTAAAAGATAACATTAAATATTTGCAGTAAAATTAAATTCTATAACAATCTTGTATTTATTAACAATAACTATTTGCTTTGTAAAGAAAAATAATATATTGTTTAAATGAATGTCAAATCCTATACCTTTAAATCTAAATTTAACGAAATTATTTTCGATATTATTCATATTATTTACACGCATTCGTTTAAAATAAAAACCAATGGAAAGTTGATCCGATAAATATTTGTTACGATCAAATTTAAATGTTTTATAATAAATACCCAGTAAAATAAAAATTACAATGAACTTTTAGTAATAAAATGTGAATGTGAAAATATTTATAAAGATAATTTAATATTTAGAATTCATCTTCATCGTCAAAACGAAAATGTAGAAATAAATAAAATAGAATATTTAGTTATAAAAATGAATACCTACTAGTATCTATATGTTCATTATATTCATTAAATTCTTTTTTCAAAATTGATTCATTTGCAGGCTTTAGTAGAAGATTTGAAAATTGAGAAGTCGACTTGCATAAATTTCTTGCGGATGTGTAAGGGAACTAAATGTTAATGTATCAGTGGATATTCGACTTTCTGAAAATTTTTTCGATGTTGTCTCTCAGTTATAACTACGGCCTATGTATATCATTTTAAATTCAGCTAACCCTAACCTTAACTTTGGCCAGTTTAATTTAGCAAACATCGATCTGAAGCACAACATATTCTTGTAATAGCATGAATGGAATTTTGGTCATTAATCCATTACACATTTTCAAAGCAAGATCATCAGTAATCGTTTTGTAAACTTCGAATATTCTTCAATATTGGAATTTTTGTATTTTGTCAAAGTCTAAAATATATATATCTCTGGGAATCGATATTATTACAAATTTATCGATGGATTTTATTATACGTATTGGGTTTATCCATCCATTTGGTATTATAAAACCACCTTTTGCAATTTCTTTAATATCGTACACAATTGATTATCTGCATTCAAATATTTTTTTTTTATAAATTACAAATTAAATCTTTTATTTATCAAAATAGTTTTTTTTAAAATTATTTATACATTGTTCTGTTCAATATAGAATAATATTAATAATATTACACATTGGAATTATTTATCACGCATGTTGATATTTAATGATCTGCAAAACTTTGTTCTTAAAAATTAGTTGGCTCATTTTTGTACACTTTGTCTATTATTAAATTTACAAAAAATAAATATTCAGACTTTAAACTATGTAAGTCGTATAAGACGTAACTAGTTAAAACATGATGTGACGTAGTGACGTACTTTTGACCAATAGTAAATTTTCCATGAGGGTAACATTAAGTTCGATAATTTTTAGGTGAACAGAGATGTCCACATCCCGTAGGACAATGTTCGTTTGTAGCAAACCATTCCTGCATATGATCAAGGTGTCCCCCATGGCTACATCCTTGACACCAAGTATATAGACCTTTAACCGTAAGGTGACTACAAAACAAAATTAAAAAAAAATTTAGTAAATGACTAAAGAAAATAAAATAATTCTTTGATGAATAACACAAACCAAATTGAACATGGATTTAACAGTCTCCGACATTTCTCACAATACCAGAAACAATTTGTAGAATTCATTAATGGCCTAAAACAATTATTACACGTCGTGTAAATTGTTGTTGATCGCTATTCATAAAAATATAATAATAATGAATACAGTTAATAAATCAAAATATATATATATATATATATATATATAATTAAAAATTACTTGATTTAGCTCAAAAACCACGGGAATTTTGCTAAATTTGATCACAGCAGTAGCTGCACTCCAAAGTTGAAATCGATGTAAAAGTTCTATATAACAAAACAATATTTACAATATTAGGAAAATATAACTTTCGTGCAATATAAATAAACTAATAATAGATAATTGGTTACCAATATATGAAAAGAACCATTGTTCTACTCTTTCTTGATTAAATTCAAGTTCATCGCCTAGAACCAAAACTAAAGTTACGCACATTTGTACATCTCCCTAAAAAAAAAAAAAAATCAAATAAGAATAAATTTTTAAAAATTAAAAATCATATTTCAACAATTTTTACCTGCTCAGAATAGTAGTCCAAAAGTCGAGTCATCATTGGTTCTTTATTCCATGATGTCCGCACCAAAGGTTTAAATTCTAGCTGAACAACTTGGTTAGTATTCTTAGGTAAATCGTTCGAACTTATTGAATATTTTTTCGGATGAGGTTCATCATCACAAGAATCTTCAGTTTCATCAGATGATTCAACATCCTGTAAAAAAGTAAGTGTTATAAAATATTTGAAAATTTTTTTTTCTAAAATTTCCAATGCTACCAAAAATAATTTTATCACCATAAATTATTTTGGAAATCGTACATCTATAACGGTATCAGAACTCGGTTCGGTTAAATCATTTGGTCTACCCGATTTCTTAATAAAATTATCAACATTTTCATTTTCTATAGTGTTTCAGGAAAATAATTAATCTTTGTAAAATTAAAACTAAATACTTATGATTCATCTCTAGAAGATTAATACTAACCATTTGGTGTATTCTCTGATTTGGTTGTATCATTTGCTTCTTTCGTATATAAAAGTTGCACAATTTTCCAAGTTTGTGCAGTTCTAAACCGTTGTGCTTCCCATGCAACCTTTAAAAGAACAATAATCGTCAATAGCAGTAGTTAAGCAAAAAATATGTTGAAATGTGTTGCTTTAAATCAATTTACTTTAGAATTATGTTCACATGCAGTCCATATATCAGGATCGGATATTTTATAATTTTCAGCGAGATATGAAAACGATTTGTGATCGAATGTGGGAAGTGAAGCTACACCAGTTTTTTGCTGACATAATACGTTAGCCTATTTCAAAATTTATTTTTAAGCGACAATGAAATAATAAATTATCATCAAAATAAATAAATAAATAAATAAATAAATAAAAAAAAACCTCAAAGTTAGGAATCCTTCTTTGTGTTCTACGATTTGAATAAGGTAACGATCTGGATCTAACATTTAAAACAAGAAAACAAAGATAAAATGTCAATTTTAATATTAGTTTCTGGTTCAATACGATTTATTTACACAGAATACTTGCTGGTCTTCGGACATTTCGTTGGAGTTATCAATAGCAAATGCAATATTATCATATACACTCCAACCCATTCCACTTTTGCTTAGCAGACCTAAAGTCTGACAAGAAATTTTAATGTCTTGTTGAATAAAACATTTATCTTTAGAAACCGACCAAAGAACATCAGAATCGCGCCACAAGAATCCTAAAAACAGATATTAATATTAAATATAATAATTATAATTTTAAGGATAAAATAATCTAATCGATAGATAATTGATTAAAAATTTTATATACCCGTTGGCACATCTCGATGTTCTTCAAAGAAATAACTCGATACATATGGCCTTTTCAAATTCCATACAAAAATTCGATTATCACTCATCATTGCACATGATGCAATTTCATCAGGATGATCGGGACGCCATTGAACACGTGTTATACCGGCCATACTTTGAATAACATCCCTTGCTTTTCTAATATCTTGACTCATATCCCATATCTGATATATATATAATATATTGTTATTTATGTGTTATTCACGTGTCATATACGATTAATATAAAAATTAAAAAAATTCAAAATAAAATGAAAGAGAAAAAAATTTACTTTAATAGCTTTATCACGACCACCACTTGCTAATATTCTCCCTTCAGAATGCCAATCAATAGCAAGAACTGATCCAACATGTGCATTAAATTTTCTTTCACATACATTCGGTTTTCTAATATCCCATTTCTTAATATATTTTTTGTGTAAACTGTGAGAAAAAATTTATGATAATTTTTTTTTTATTGATAAAATTATTAATTTATAAATTATTCTAAATACCTGAATGGTTCCATTTTCAAAAGCAGCAGCAATATCATATTGATATAAAGCATTAAACTGTGCATCACGAACACCCTCAGATTTTCCTTCAAATGTAAATTTTGCCAATGTTGGATCTCTAAGGTCCTGAATAATTTCTTAAGAATATTAGAATACCTCTGTTATTATTGTATATCAAAAATTAAGTGAAAATCGAAACACACCCATAATTTCATTGTTCCATCATGTGAAGCACTTAAAAGCATTGATCCTTGAGATGGATTAAAGCATATTCGATTAACAGCACGTCGATGTTCACTTAATTCTAAAATAAATAGAATAAATAAATAGAATAAATAAATAGAATAATCAATATAATAATAATAAATATTATAATAATAAATATATAATAAATATAATAAATATGAAAATTTATCTCCAAATGGACAAATAATGCAAATATGTCAATAAAGAGTCAAGATTAAAAAAAAAAAAAACTTGCCTGTTTTTACTTTGCTAATTTCCAAATCATATATTAATATAGATCCAATAGTAGTCGCAGTAGCTATTTTATTCTTTGTGGCTTCAAAAAAATAAGTTTACATAAGCGAAAAATCACATGGATTATTATAATTATTTGATTTATCCATTTTTTTTTTGGTAATTTACCATTATTTCCCCATTTCACATCACATATGCTATATCGATTATTTGTTTTAACTCTTAAATGATTCTCATCAATAATTGACCAGTCTGGTATTCGTAAAATCTTCAATGCTATGTAATAAATGTAATAAATTTAATAAAGATATAATAAACATTGAGAATATAAAGTTTATAATTATCATGATTATCTAACCATCACGTCCAGCTATAATGACTTGAGTCAAATCTTGGGAAGCCGACAAAGCAACAAATGTAGTGTTGAGTTTACGTTTAAGAAGTAAACGACTAATATCTTGACGCTGTTCAGACCAGGTATTACTCAAGGAAAAATTAAAGTGTAAACTTGGATTATTTGAATATCCTGCTTCATTTTGTTTTTCTTCATTGTTTGAACCAGTTTTTGATTTTTCATAATTATTTATACCCCAAGGGAAAGACATTTGATTATTAGTTGCAGATGCTACAGGTGTTGTAACTTTTGATTCGGCAAACCATTTCTTACGAAGCTCTGACATTGCCCACTCGGTCGAGTAAAACTAATATATTCTCATAATTATAGTAACAATTTGACAATTTGACTACAAACAGATCACTGGAACAAGAATCCGATGTTTGTTGTACCATAATGACACCTGATGTATATCAAAAATGCACAGGTGTGTTGACCAAAATAAAAATAACGCGTCTTAGTCATTCTATTTAAGTAACTCAAAATCAAGGATCAACCAAAAATCAATAATCAATAAAAAAAAAAAAATTCATCACTCAAAAAAAATAACTAAACTAATTTACCCTCAACGAAAACAAAACAAAAAAAAAAATGTTATTATCTGGATATCAACTCGAAATTTTGGTAAATGGATTACCACTTGAAGAATGTTTAGAACCTATTAGTAAAAACACCACTACAGGTCCATCTTACGTTATAAATGAATCGACTTGCCAAAAAATCGAAAATAATAACACAGTTTATGCAGCCGTGAAAGAGCCTGGAGCTCATTTTACTGTTCGTTATAAAGTTCCATTGGAGGAATTATCCAAAGGTCCTATCATGGGATTCGTTTATGTTGATGGTCAACATGACAATACATACAGTGCTCATATTGATCTTTTAAGCACTCACTATTTTCGAGATAGTTTTCATAATTATGTTAAAGGAAAAAAATATGAATTTAAATTTGATGCTACTATCTGGTTAGATAATAATAATAAGAAAAATGATAACAAAATTTCTAATAATAATAATAATAATGATAATAATAATAATAATAATATTGGTGGTCACGGAGCAATCTCTGTTTTTTTTTATCGAGCAAAATATCATTCGAGAGAGGCAATTCCTTTGGACCTCGATTTTAAAACAAAGGAAATTCCGGAAAGTAAAGCCAATATAGGATTAAAATTATCTACATCATTTAACGAAAATCCATTACCTAAACATACCAAATTAGAGTCTAAATTGATACAAACATCATCTCAACCAATTGCAGCATTACATTTACATTATAGAGCAGATTCATGGTTAAGGGCTCGGAAGCTTCTCAATATACAAAATATACAAAATACTCAAAATTCTCCTTGTAGAAGTACAAATGTCTTGTCTGAAATTTTTGGTCCGTCAAATAATTATTTCAGAGCTATGAAAACTGATGATTTCGTGAAAAAAGAAAATTTGGAACAAAATCTTGGTGACATTAAAGAAAGAAATTCGGGATTAAAAAGAAAGAGTATTTCTAATTCCAACGACGAAAATTCTACTGAAGCCAGGAAACAAAGAAAATCTGATCCTGAAGAAGTTGTTGTATTATCAGATTAAATATGTCAAAATTTTTGTTATGATTTTTTTTTTTTTTGCACATTATCATATTTCAAAAAAATTTCCAATTCCTACAATATTATGTATTTTTTTTTTTAATTTTCTCTAATAATTCGACGTGAAATCATTGCTTTCATAAGATAAGATATAGATATTAATTGTGTCAAAGGAAATATTCATGAAGATTCACATCTGCACGTAATAAACACAAAAATAGCATACAAAATACTTATTAATTGGTTTAATAAATATTTTAATAATAAAATTTTTATCATTACTTAACCTGACCTGATTATACACTTTGAATTCTAAAAATCTTTTCTACGTACACTCTTAACGATACTAATAATAAGAAATCAATTTCATTCTTGATGATTTATCTCCAATTTCTTTAATTCTGTCCTATCACCGAATATATCTACCATTTGGTAGATAGATATTTAGAATTCAAGATAGATCTTGTGCTCGAAATCCTTTATTACCATAAGTACAATCGATCCCCTCTATAAACACACCCCATGACCAACAAATGGTGTGACTAAAGAGTGAAGTTCTTATAGCGAGGGAATTTTAATATCAGGAGGCACCTTTAGAGGGGATCGACTGTAAATACAAAAACTTATTATATCCTTTTTGATTAGTTTTTTTTTTCAATGATAATGATATAATAAATAAATAATAATATTTAATTGGATGATAAATTATATTATTTACCAAAGAATATTTCATCCGAATATACAAGGTTATTCATTTGCAGTCATAGCTATAAAATAGTAGTTACAGGTTTTCCACCCATATCTTAATTTGACATGATAATGAGAATTGCATAAAGGTAAGTATGATTTTATGATTACGGTTCGGTTATATATAAATAATAATGAAATTTCAATTCAAATAATTCAAATTCAATTAAAAGTTGAAGAATTTTCAGCAAAACAAACTTTAATTGACAACTCTACTTAATTACAAAGCAATTTATATAAGTCAACTTCTCAATTTTCAAAGCTTGTAAATGAAAAAAGAACTCGAAAAATATAGATACTAGTAAGTATTAATTATATATTATATTTTTATATAAAATGAAGATATTTATTATTTTTAAATATTAAGATTAATCTTTTATAAATATTATGATATACAGTACATAAGAAATTATATAAATTATATATGAAAATAAAATGTTAATAAATAAATATAACGTTAATAAATATTAAAATAAAATTCGAATTATTTTTGCTCTATTTATCAATATTCTTATCAAATATCATTGAAAAGTTTGTAAGAAATATTAAAGGGTCAATTCTTAAACCAAAAGAAAGTTCATATGTCTATAAAGCAAAACATTATCAACAACTTTTACTTGGATAAGCTAAGAGAATGGAATAAAGGGTAATAAATACATTATCACAAAGCTTCTCTTGATATATAATTCGCACATACTTATATAAATATCAAAAAAAAAAAAACTAGTTGCCGGCAAGACTGAGACTGGAATTCGAAGAATTACTCGATGCATAAAAGAATCCTTCATCTTCGGGATCCGAAAAATCACATCTTCCATATTTTATGAAACTAAAGGCCCTAAAAACTCTTTCATCATAGAGTCCAGGCCAATATCTTTTTTGCGAATGTTCCTCGGTGATTCCCACTGCAACAACTGCAATGATATCAGGATTGTTAAGATTTTGTTCTATGAAAGCTCGTTTATAACGTATTGCTTGAGCGATAACATGATATTTTCTATATTTTTTTAAATCTTTATTATGTTTATCGACCCTTTTTGTTTCCACAATAGCAAATATACCTTTACCATTGGTAAGGATTAAATCATTTTTGCCATCTGATTGACGATTCAAGGAAGGCATCCACCCATATTTATAGAGGTAATTAAATCCAGGAATAAAATTGTTGATATCCTCAAGAATGGCATTTTGAAGTGTCCATTCCATTCTTTGTTGAAAATTAAGACGATTTTCGTCATCCTTAAAAGCTTGAAGTTCTCTACGGTGTACACTTTCAATCGATTCTTGTGTTTGGAAATTTTTTTCAATATAATCTATTGCTTGCTGAATTATTTTAGTTTCGTCATCTTTCGACCAATAATATATGACTTTCGTATTAGTTATACAATGTTTAATAGGGGAAAAAATATCAAAGAATTCTTGCGGTGGTGAAGAATCATGAAGAAATTCTATTGCTGTTTCCTCACGGTGAAAGGCATTGAAAAGAATTTTAAACCACTTTTTAAATTCATCGTTTTCGTTCAACATTATTATAAGGAACAATATTTAATAGACATTCCATAAAATATTATGTTAAGTTTTGCAATTGTAGTGACGTTTCACCACCATTACAACCATTACCACAATGTTTTGGTTTTGGTGCACGGATAATCTAAAATAAAAAAAGATTTGTGCTCGTATTTAGCATATCGGATTTACAATAATGATAACGAAAAGGAAGTCATACGTCGTCTAATATAATTATATCCAATTGCTATTGTTAATACTTCTTATGGAATCAATAATCAATGAATCAATAGAATTCCACAATCGAAACAACTGAAACAACTTTCATTCTTCCAACCAACTTTGAATTTTATGAATAAAAGATAACGGATCGATACTCCTAAAATTGTACAAAATAAATTGAATCTGTGTAAAAACAAGAAATCGAGCAAAGCCACAAATATATATATATATATATATATATATATATATATATTTATTTATTCAATTATAGCATAAGAAAAAAACTTTCGAGTGAAGTGTAAAAAAAATAAAAATATTTAATCATCAATAGTATTAACAGTAAAGTACAGTATTAAGACAATAAAATCATGATAATGTACATTTCTAAATATTTTACCAAATAGAAAGAAAATCAAAATTTGCACAATTTATCATAAATAATTTAATAAACATGCATAAAAAAAAACTTAATTTATACAAAAAAAAAAGTTGATGTTATAAATAATTAATTCAAAAATTCAAAAAAAAATGTATAAAATTTTAATATTGCATCAATCCATTCAATTGATCTAGTAATGTTTTATCTATTTTACTAATATGATGTAGATTAAATTCTTGAGTTCCACCATTAAGAGCTTCACATTCTGCTAGTTTTAATTGAATGAACTGAATCAGGTTTGTGGTGTGTATTGGATCTTTTTGTAAAAGCTACAAGGAGAAAAGGGTGAAAGGAGATTTTAATAAAGAATTGACTTAGAAAATGAACTCAGGTTTTAATACTTACTGCTCTCTTTCTCTTGGTTTCTGGTGTATCATCAGCCTCTTCAGTTCCTACCTTGGTAGAAATATCTTCTTGCCAATAAACCAAAGCACTAAAAATAAAATATTAAATCAAGTTATTTAAAAATAAAATAAATGCAATTATCACTTAATTTAATTAATTTAATGGTAATTTATTTTTTAAAATATAACTTACTCTCCTCCACCAGATTCCTTGACTTCACTTAATACATCACACCAAACACCTATAAAATGTGGTAAATATCCTAGAATAATTGGATTTGTTGTAGAAATCAATGTTGCAAATGCCATTGCATTTAATTTTCTTTGTTTTGGATGTCCAATATTGTCAAACTAATAAAAATAATTAATAAAATAATAAAATTATATATTTAGTAAAACAAAAAAAAAAAAAAAAAAACAATAAAATTATAAATACCTTTTCTAACCATACTTCTAACACTTTATGTAATAAGTTATGTTGTGGCATATTATATTGTTGACCAGCGACACTTAGAAAGTTTATAATAAAATCGGGTCCAATAAGAACTAATCTTGCCAGTATTGAAATATAATTCACAAGTACATATATATATTCCTATTCAAAAATATTAATTAGATTTTCTTTTCTTTTAATCCAAAGCAAATAATTCAATTAAAAATATTCACCTACCTCATTTTCAGTGAGCAATGTTTTAATTATTTTCCATAATAAACCTGTATTCACAATGGTTTCACCTAAGGATGAAAAAGGACAAGTTTGAAATATGACATCAAGAACATGAATAATTGCGCGACATGCTTCAGGTTTTAAATCTCCTAATAGTCGTGTGAACGTATCCATAATTTGATGACCATTTGACTTAAATATAAATATAAATATATATATATATAATAATTATTATTATTATTATAAATAATTAAATTAATAAATTAAATAAATTAAGAAACCAATTTAAACAAAAAAACCAAGTACACACCTGAATAATCATATCTGGAACTAAAATAATAGAACTTTCAAGAATTTTCAAAACTTTTTTAAGATTCTCTGAACCACATTCTAATAAACCAATGACAGCAGGAACAAGACTAAATAAACCGGGGGTACACTCAACCGAATTTTCGAGAGTGGCAAGCCAAAGATCAAGTGCGTCCTCCAAAAGGTAAACATGTTCTTCCTGAACAGAAGAGCGAATGATAATATCTTTGATAAAAATAGACAATGCTGAAGTTCAATGTATGTAATAAATACTGAACTTACAGTGTTGGGGTTAACGCTATATTGAATAATTGGTATTATGAAATCGTGAAGATTAATTGATTCATTCATCAATGCCTTTACCAAAAAGAATATATATATATAAAAAGAGAGATATTAAGTCATATACATATATAAGATGATCTTTGAATAAAAAAAATTTTTAAATATAGCTCACTTGAACAAGTTTAGTTAATATGGAAAGAATGGCAGGTCTAAACATATGTTCATCTTGAGCAGCTTGCCATAGAGGAGGTAATAAATTGGTAATTTTTTCAGCAAAAGGAGAAATCTAATATAATTATTTAATTTATTATTTAATTTATTTATATTGATGTTAAAGAAATTATAATCTTATAAAAATATAAGATAAAATAGATAAAATAGAAATGATAAATATATTACCAATTTCTCCATTCTTTCAACGATAAGCGATAAACAATTCAGAATTTTCATTCTACTATCAAATTGTTTTACATCACCAATTAAACGGGTCAATAACGTAACTGCTCGATCCAAGTAAGTGGCAAATCTTTCAGAATCGAAATCCCATTCATCGACGCGTAATGAAAAGGAGTCAAGAAGAAGAATAAACATATGATGACAATGTGTGAACTCCATTCGTGGTTTATATTAAATAAGGATATAGCTTCTAAGATTTATAGCGGTTGTCATCCTGACAACTAAATCTTCTTCAGGATTTAGCAAATAAGTCATTGCGTCATAAGCTTTAGGTTTATTCTCTTTTGATATTTTAACGCATATCCATCTTCCAATAACCCAAGCGATTCGACGGCGTATTATCTTATAACTAAAATTAGATAATCGAAAAAAATTAATAAATATTTTTTGTTCACCTTATAATTCTCTTTTATCTTAATAATAATACAAATTATATAATACAGTACTTGGGATCATTATTCGCTATTTCCACTAATAAATTATTCACTAGCCATGAATCAAAGTCTAGTTCATCATATAATTCATGTGCACCAAGACCTATCGCACAATAAACTGCATCTTTAAGTAATAAATTGTTGGTTTGTGAAGCTATTCAAAAAAAAATAAAAAATATGATAATATTCATTGGTTAATAGATCTATTAAAATTCAAGAAGAATAGTTTAAATCTATATTTTTTTTTTGTTCGTATTTCAGAAAATGCCACATTGTGGCGTCTTAATCATTGACATATTGTCTAATAAGACCGTCGTGAATAGAATTTTTCATCATAAATTAAAGATATGAATAGATTTTTTATAAATAAATATAAATATATATATAAATATATATATATACACATATATACATATACATTTGTGTTAAATACTTAACCAGCTGAAAATAATTAATATACTTTATATATCAGTTAATAATGATAAAGATATTAAAGTTATCTTTTTAATGCGAGTGACCCATATCCATATAAGAATATATAAGAATGTAATCATTTATTCAGCAAAAAATACAAACACTCACGTGAAAAGGTTCCAAGTAATTTGACAATTTTGGACGATAAAGAATCACGATACTGAGTTAATAAATCTATAAATACTTTCTCTGCGCAGGGCTTAAAAGGAAGCGAGAATAATTAATAAAGAAAGTAAAGAAAATAAGAAAATAAAGAAAATAGTGAAAATAATTAATAATGAAAGAATAAATACTCTTAATTGATGCTCCCAATGATCTGTCTCATCATAATTAACCCAACCTTCTGGATCTTCTTCCCACATCATCAAATCTTCCTTTCTTAAACTGATTAAACTTGTCATTAATAATTCAGCAAATGATTCAACAAAACTAGGTGTTAATATTTGTTCATCAACAATCCGAATTGCATCGATTACTTGTAGATCCTTAGATTCTTTTTTAATATAAAATTAAATTTATCAATTTAATTTACAAACCAAATTCTGTAAACTTTAATAAATATATTTTATACCTCTGAGATCTTGATTATAAGATGTTTTCCTGATCAAACTTTTCATTAATAATAATGCTTGTACCAAATATTTCTCTATAAAAATAGAATTTGACATTTCTATTATGACAATTATATTTATTTTTATTAAAAAAAAAAAAAAATTAATTAGTAAAACATTATTTGTAATATTCACAATCAACCAAATTATCTTTGATTTACCTTTTTCATATGATTTTCCATATGTTGCAACTAATTTCCAATAAAAACTAATGACATCAACAGATCCTGGTGTTAAAATAAATGCTACAGTGTGTGCTTTTATTATGTCAATATAAAATTTTCCCATCAAGATAATATGTGATTCAACGAGTTTCGTTATAGGTGACTCGTTAACTTCTTCTAATGCGTTTCCTAATCATAAATTTTTTAAAAAAATGAAAAGAAAAATTTTATTTATTATAAACTTAATCTTAATAATACGAATAATAAACATACTTAATGTATGAAACTTTTGTAAATGTTCTAAAATTAAAGCGAAGAAAGCCTAATGATAAAATAAAATAAAATAAATAAAATTAAAATTAAAATTTTTAGAAAATTCCAAAGAAAAAAAAACAATAATCTTGTCAATATTAAAATATTAATTATTTGATCTAAATTACTTTAGTTTCTTCAACTTTGCTAATATCTCTGAATCCATAAACAGTCAAACGCCTTATACATTTTAAGGCAGACAAGGAAGTTTCCAAATCAACAGAAATTCCAATATCATTTAAAGATACCATAGTAAAGAATCGGTTGACATGTTCAACGTAAATACTAGCCACGTTACGAAGTAATTCTGGAGCAACCTATTTTTATAAATAAATGTAATGAAATAAATGTGATGAAATAAATGTGATGAAATATAATGAAATAAATGTAATGAAATGAAATAAACAATTTGCATATATATATATAAAATACATAATATTATGAATTATGAAATGAATGTGAAATGGAAACCTGTTCAAATATTTTTCGATCTGCTCCAATAGTTTTCGAACATAAAGATTTGACTACTAAATGTAAAGTGAGTAATGACCTTTTTTGAATTAAAACAGTTTGAGGATTTGAGGCAGAAACCAATGTTGAATGAATTATTGACAAAAGATTTTGAAGTAATTCCGGCCTGTTTTAACAATTTAAATATAAACTTTTTTTTTTCAATATTTATATAAGAATGAATAAAAGAATATACAAAATAAGATAATAGATAAAGAATAAATAAAGAATAGATAAAATTTCAAACCATTCATTTGGAAAATCTAACCGGGCAATCTTGGATACCAACACGGCAATCTGTATCGCTAACTAAATTTATTGATGTAAAAAGTAAAAATAAATTAAATAAATTCATAATAAAAATAATAAAAAAAATAAATGAATCAAATCGTACCTGATTAAATTCTTCATCCATAAACGACAAAAGCCTTCCCCTTATAATTGATTTTTCGATAGGATCAATCGTACTATGATTTATAATATTAATAATATAATTGCCTATTTAATTATCACAGAAATATATAAATCTTAAAAAAAAAAAAAAAATTCGAGAATATTAAATATTTACTTTTTTGCAGATTTTCGCCAATAACAATCAACCCCATTCTTAAAAAATATTGCACCCAAGAATCGAATATTTCCATCAATTGATCTATCAAAGATAATATCCTAAATTGAATAATAAACATTGATAAACATTTAATAATAAAACTTTAAATTAAATTTGAAATGTTTTTGAAATTTTTGAACAGGATTTAAATTAAAAAATTCTTGTAATTCATATTTTATATATACAGTAACAGTATTATTATTTTATTTTTTTTTGGATAAGAAATAAAATACTTTATTAATTTTATTAATATAAATTTGATGAAATTGATAACATATAATTAATAGATAACTTATTAAATCAATAAGTATTTCAATAAAACAAAAAAAAGTTAAAGACGCTTACAAATTACGATAAATAATTGACAACTCTTATCCTGAAATAACTTACCAATAAAGTTGAATAAAATTCCGGAGCAATTTCCCACTGTTTAAGTTGAGCCTCTGCTACTTTAATACGTTCAAGTTGTTGTGATGCTGCTTCAGATAAAGTTATAAGAAGTTGATTTCGAGCTGAGGCCATTTTATAAAAAATAAAAAAAAATTTCCAGTTAACTTGTTACTTTTTTTTTATGGCCAAAAGTGACGGGCTGTGTAACAAATAATATCTAATCTCAAGATTTTATAAAATAGAGGGTGAGGGGTTTGTGACCAAATACGTTCTTGTTTTTCTCTTTCTTTTATGTATTTTGATATTCAAAAAAATTCAAATAAAAAAGCAAACAAATATGATACCGCATTTATTAAAAATTTCAATAATTTTACTTTAATAATGAAAAATCAAAAAAGAATTAATAAAATATCTTCATCTTATTTATGAGAATCATCTCTTTTGCCTCTTTCCTTAAATTTCTCTTTTTTTTTTTTTTTGAATTATGAGTTTAATGCTTCAATTTGTAATATTCGTCCTATTAACATGACATGAAAAATATATATATAGTATTTCAAGTGATGTCACGTAGATGAATTCTAAATATTTAAATATTTTGATCTTTATATTTTTTATCAACCTTTTGAATAATATTTATAAAGAAAGATATTAAAAAAATTTATCAAATAGAATTGTTATTAAATTAGTATATTTGTATAAATTCAATTTTTGAATTCAATTTATTTTATTTTTATTATTATTATAAATATTGGATTAACCATAAACAGTTCTTTAAAAATAAATAATAAAAATAATAATAATGAGATAGGAATTAATTTAGTAATTTATAATAAAGTCCCTTTAATGTCACAAGTAAATAAAAAATTTAAGTTAGTCCTGTACTGAATTTTCAAATCTTATAATAATTAAGTTTAAAAAAAATTTACATATAAATTTAATATGCATAAAATTTAAGTTAGTGATATACTAAATTTTTTCAAATCTTATAACAATTAAGTTTAAAAATTACCATATAAATATATTATTCATTAGAGCCTTGCAGAGCAGAAAGGCTGAAGATTTGCATAATTGAGTAAAACCTATTCATTATTGCATATATTCATTATTGTATAGATTCAATGACCACTAATTGAAAGATTTAACTTATCCAATTTCACTTTGAAATTATTGACCAAAAATCTACTAGCATAACTTTTGTCTAAATGTCTAAGAAAAGAAATAAAATAAAATGAAATCTCAAGATATTTTAATTTGTACTATCTTTTAAATTTCGAGTCCTTTCACCCTGCCCAATATTTTCAATATAGTAAAAATATTGAAATTCTTGTAAACTTTTTTTAACAACATCCCGATGATTAGGCTCCTTTTGGATTTACTGATGTTCATTTTTTTTGAATAAATATAATTATTTGAATTTGAAACTTTTATAAAATAAAATAAAATCCATTAACATAAAATTTCAACATAAAAATAAGATATACCATGTCCATTTCCCTAATATCATTAGTAAGGTTTGAGAGGTCCAAGTCTCTTTGCATATGGTTATGGAAAAATTTAACTTCATACATATTTGTATTAAATTTTTAAATAAGTTGTATTTTCTTTGATGTATTTGCAATTCCTAGGAATAAAGATGCTTTTTTCACAAAAGATAACACTTTATTTGGTACAACGATAAACTTATCGAATGTGAATGCATTCAGTAATTTACATATGATTTTTTGTTGCTTTATAATTTCTCTATGCAAAGTTTAGCAATAATAGCTAGATCCCCTATAGATGAACAGATTTTTTATTTTGTTAAATGGTTTCAATATTAATAATTGAATAAACTGCTCCAACCAAAGCTACGAAATCAATAAAGAACCCTCACGGAATGTAATGACGTAGAAAGAATGACTGGACTAGTGAGAAAATATTTAAATTCTAAAAAAGGAAGTTTTTTGAAAGAAGAAAAATGGGTCTACGTATTAGAATGCTCAAACAAAGTTCAATTTAATTAACAAGAACAAACCTTTTGATTTAGTAATAAATGGGCTAATAGCTTTGTTATATTCATTATATCGAAGAGAGTTCGTAAAGATTGTATAGCATTATTAGAAATGTAGAAAGAAAAAATTAAAATATAATAAAATTGGGCTTACAATTTAAATACCTTACCTATAATGCTCTTGAAACCTAGATTTTATAAAGAGGCTGTAACCATTGTAAATACTTTGCTTAATTGTTATGTATTTTTGATTTGATATCAAAAGTTCAAGTAAAAATTGTAAAAATTCAAATTCAAATTCAAATGATACTTTGAACAAAACAAATAAATGAAAAGTCAAAAAGGAATCAATAATCATTATAAAAATAAGAGAGAAATCTGCCAATAGTTCATTAATCTGCTTTATCCTTATTACTAACTGTTCAAACAAAGCTTATTGACAATAAGAATTAGTGGCATTATCTTTATTACATAAGGTTGTTCAAGATAGATATAAATTTAATACGTATAGATCAAGATTAATAAGGAATCACAGTAAAGTAAAAAGGAATAATCTACAAAATTTAAATCGATTTTATTTATTTCTTTATTCTCATTATTTATCACATTAAAAATTTTCAGAAATAATATTTTTTTTTAACAAAATAAAATATGCCAAATTACATCAGTTGACTAAATTCATTCAAAAAAAAAAATCTCGCATAAATAAATAAAACAAAATTATTCTTATTTAACATTACTTGTTAAAGTAAAGGCTTGCATTTTTATCCAAAACAATGCCAGTATGAAAATTTAAAGAAGAAAAAATCAAACATATATCACAAAAAAAGCTCTTATCTATTTATTTTAAATATTGTCAAAGGAGAAATATATCATGTATGTACGTATTGTTTACATTGAAGAATTTAATTATGTTTACCATGAGATCAATGGTATTAACTCGGTATGAAAAGAAATGTTTTATCTTGCTGAAAGACATTTTCTTTTTTGATCGTTGTCAATACAAAAACAATCCTGCAATCTGATAAATAAAATTGGCTAAATTGATGCGAGTTTAGCCAAAATTTCTTTCAACTTTAATGTTATTTTTGCCACATGATCACTGTTAAGCCACTCTTCTAAAGGTCAAATCATTTTTTTTTTTTATTAAAAATTTACCATAAAACGATACAACAATAATAATAAACAATATGTAATAACAGATAGATAATATGTAAGAACAGATAAGAGCAAATAATAAAGAATGGGCTTTCTTTTTATTTATGAGATTGGTAACTTTCCTTTTCAAAAAAAGTTTTCGCCGAATGTGTCATCTGATGCTATTACGGTTGACAATTATTACTATTAATATTGAATACAATGTATACTACTTTCTTTTCTCTTCTCTTCGGTCGATGTCTTTGTGTAATATCTTTGTTGTGTAATATCTTTGTGTAATATCTTTGCGTAATATCTTTGTGTAATATCTTTTTTGTGTAATCTTGAAGAAGAATATGCAAAAGTAGACTCTCGTGACATCCCCATGATCAGATGAACGTGGTAAAAAAGCTCAGCCCTTCGGAGTATTGAGGAATTTCATTTATACACCCCCTTGTGACATCGGCGTTGGAATCGTTGAGATGAAATAAAAAAGATAATAATAATAGTAATAATAATAACAAAATGCATTAATGCACTGGCCTTATTTCCTTTTTTCTTTTGGCTGAATCCGTTGTAAAAGCCATTCTCTTTTTTCGTTGTTAACCCGAAACCTTCTTTTTTTTTCTTCCCAGGCCCCCGCATTTTAGCGGTATAAATTATCATCTCAATAGAAATATATATATAAAAAAAAAAGTCGGGAAAAAAATAAAACTTTTTTGGTACATTAATTTATCCTAATCCCTATTAATATTAATTTATTTTCATTGGTTTCCTCTCTTTTTTTTTTTTTATTTTATTTTATTTCCTCAATGTTATTAATTGATGATATTAATTGATGCTATTGATGCTATTAATATCGTTATTAATATCGTTATTAATATCGTTATTAAAGTTATTCCAGGATTTCGTTGGAAACTACTAACTGTTTATGAAAATAAATAAATTTGACAGATCCACCGAGATCTTTTGTTGCATTATTATTCATTATCTGTTTTGAATAAAAAGGAGTTTATTCTACATATATGCGTGTATATATGTGTTTGTGTGCAAATAAATATATATGTGTGTGTACATGTATACATAAATGTATATTTATATATACGAGACAAAGATACACGTTCGTTCGTTCGATTATTTAATGATTTAAATTATACGTATTCAGAAATCAAGAAAATATTAATAGTTTCACCATTAAGAATAAAAAGAATTTTACATAATTTTTATTTGGTCTCTTTAAAAATAAATAAATAATAATAATTTTCTTGTGTAAAAAAACAATAATTAATAATGAAAATTTTTTATAGTCTAGAAGGGGAAAGTTACATGAATAGTTGTTAATTCTTGGGACCTCGCATAATTTATATTTTATGTTATTTTATAATATATAACAGATAAGATCCTCAATGCTTTGCAAAACATTGCGGGGAATGCTAAACCAATTGTTGTTCAAATGCCGATGATCTTGCTGCACATAATAAAATCACGTGTAATGTTATTTTTTTCTAATTTTTCTTTCTATCATTTCTATTTAAATTATTTAAATGATTTTGTGTGTGTATGTATTATCATAAAATAGAGAGAAAAAAAAATTTTACAAAATGAAAAAAAAAAAATATTGCAATATGCAAAAAATGTAAGAAAAATTTTGACGTTAGATAGTATGGGGTAATTATTTCATAGTCTTCATTATATGTATAATTATAGATTATGCGTATTTTATGAATAAAATTTTTTTCATTATAATGATTGGTTTTAAGATAACACAAAATTGTGACATGACAATCATATATACAGTTTAAATAAGCTAAATTAAAGATATGTACATATTAAAATCTCTCATTGATATAAACGAAACGTAACACACAAAAAAAGAAATCTATTCATTATCTCAGAAGAACCAGTTCAATTCTTCTTTCTATTTACTCCGCATTTTTTTTTATCTCCAATTGACATACATAAAATAAATAATGACACACATATAAATAAATATTGATGAAAAAATTGACATATACGCGGCAAAAAAAAACATTACATAAAAAATATAAATATAAATATAAATAATAAAAAAAAACAAACATGCAATAACACTTATAATTATTACTATAAACTATAAATGCTATTAATCATCTATTACTATAAATTATTATATTATACTCCCACTCTTATCATTTCTATAATCATTCATCCTTAAGCATTAATTATTTAGTATTATCTGTATTTGGTATTTGTATTTAGTATCTGTATTTAGTATTTCAATTTAATACCTGTATTTGGAATTTGTATTTTATAATTAATATTGTCAAAAAAATTATAAAAAAAAAATTATATAAAAAAATTGTTAACAATGACTCATACTTACAAATAATGAAACCAATTACAATTTAACAAGTAATAATAAAAAAATTTGCTTATCAATATTATTATAAATCTTTTAAATAAGTATTATAAATATTATATATTTTATTATAAATATTAAAAATGGTAATTACATAAATAATTACATAAATAAATAATTGTAAACAATTGCAATTGTAAATATTGTAAACAATTGTAAACAATTGGAAATAGTTGGAAATAATTGGAAATAGTTGGAAATAATTGGAAATAGTTATAAAAAAAATTTCTAAAATAACAAATACACTAAATTTTATGGTTTTTTTCTTAATAATAACAAATCTAAAAAAAACAAATAATAAACAAATGGTACAAATAATAAACAAATATCAACAAATAAAAGTGCACAAATACAAACTTGACAGATTTTAAAAATTTGTTCATTAAAGAAAAATAAGTTAGTATTTCAGCATTACTTTCATTCATTCATTAATTTCATTCATTATTAATATTAGAAGTTATATTTTAATGTTAAGTAAGTATCAATCACAATATATAAATATATATTATAATGATTTTAATTAACATAATTTAACCAATATAATCCAATATAATTTAATCATTCAAATGCCAATATCAATGCAATAATAAAGTGGTACAAAAGCATATGTATACAAATCAGATAAATGAATACAGATCAAATACACATACAGCACACACAAATCAGGTAAATCTTAAATAAATATAAATATATACATAAATATGTACTTATATAACATAGCTGAAACTTGTTTCATACAACTTTTACTATTTATTTTATTTAATCAAATTTAAACATAATAAATGCTATTTGTCATTTGCAGTACCCTCGACAATAATGAAACAATAAAAAAATTTTTTTTTTAATTCTTACAATTTTAGGGGTATTTTTTTAAAAAAAGCATTGATTTAGTTAAAGTAATTAATAGTAATTAATAAATCTTGCTTTCACAAATTCACAAAAAAAAATTTTTTTTTCTATCAATCCTAATAAACGCAACAAATATAATTAAAACAACACCATTTAAAATATATTTCTTTTTAATAATAAATGTGTTTTTTTTTTTTTGTTGTTGTTGTTGTTGTCGTTGTTGTTGTTGTCGTTGTTGTACACTAAACCTAAAATTGTATAATGGCATCATCAAACGAACAACTTGAGAAATCCCGCCTTTTTTCGATCGTATTACCTTGGTAAATGATTAGTGGAAATGTCCATATTTAGGAGACTATAAATATCATGTAATTATTTCTTTAAGAACATTTTCATTCAAAGAATTTGAAAAAAAAAATATAAAACACCAATAATATATAATCACACATAATTTAATAATTAATAATAATTAGTAATATAAATTATAATGATATATTTAACTAATTTATAAAAAAATCGGCAATAAAAAATATGCCAATTTAAAACAATATTTTGTGTAACTATTATAAGAAAATTAATATATTTGTTGATTCATTATTATCGTCATCTGACTATGTAAAATATAATGTTTTGAAGCTATTAATACCACGTGAACAAAAGCGAGGGGTCAACGCCAACAATAATTTTAAAATAAATAATAATTAAATAATTTTTCATTGACAATTTAATCGGAAGACTATAATTAAATTCTAGACAATTTACAAATAATTAAATCAAAAATGGAAAAAAACTTTACATATTCGACAATCAATTTATTTGGTTACAAAAAAATAATTGAAATGTATACACAAACTATTTTAAGCTATGCAAAAAATGTTCTGGAATATTTGTGAGATTGAGATGCAAATATGAAATGTCAATATTTAGTTTATTTTAATATATTAATACAAAATAATTTAAATAATTTAAATAAAACAAATAATAATTTACATAATTTGCCAATAATAATAATAATAATAATAATAATAATAATAATATAATTTTACAAATAATTGTTATAAAGAGCTTAAAAAACCAATTATTATTAAATTCATTTTATTACCATTTTTATCGAACAAACCAATTTAGTGCTACAAAATATTAAAAAGACGTGATCTATTTTTGATCCAATTAAATTTATTTATATTTATTCTATATCATTTGGGTTTTTTCCGAGTTGTTGATGTTTTTCCTTTGCTGTTGTTGTTGTTGTCGTTATTCGTAACGATTGTATTTATAACGATTTGTAATTTGTGAGTGATGAAGAGAGGTGTCAATAAATCTATTATTATAAATGATTAATAAATGATATAACAAATATAATTCAAACCCCGATTTGTCTCACAAGTTACAATTAAGGCGGCACATTACGGAAATAAATGAATATTGTTTACAGTATATTGTTACAAATTATATTGTCTACAGTTATAAGGGGTTTATTATAATGCATCAGCTTCAAATTAGTTAACCAATAAAAATAAATTCTTAATAAAAATTTATTCCAATTAAAATAATTGAAAAAAAAATTTTCGAAATATAATTTTTTTAATTTTAATAATAATTTTTTATTATATGTCTTTGATCTTTTAAATAAATACATTTATATGAAAATTTCAATAAAATATTCTATTTTTTACTACGCTTCGAGAAAATAATAATAATTTCCTTTTTTTTTTTGCGTAATATCACTTTTTCTTTCTAACCAATTATAAAATTGTAAACCAATAACAATCATTTCGTCAACAACAAATAAATACAACGGCTTCTATTTGAATGACGACATCAACACATACCAAACATGACATATAAATAAATGTTAATAAATGTTTATACATGTACATTAAAGCCAAGCCACAAAATATTTTATATTCTATACACTCGTTTATTTATTTTTATAATAGTACATGTTGAACTAATCCCAAAATACAAATTTTCGCATTTTTATTTGGTTTAGTTTATTTATTTATTTTTTTTTTTATATAATCTATTTCAAAATTTTTCAATTTTTTATCTTGTACTGGTTTTATTTTATAAAATATATCCGGCTCTTCGGTATACTATCGGAGATTTTTTTTTTTTAAATACCTCGAGTCACTAATTCAGATATAAAAATATCAAGATTCCCATTATTTTTCACAGAGTTCTCATTTCTGTGTTTCATTTTATTTTTTTATTTTTTATTCTTAGTTAAAACTCCTCTCTCTCCCCCCCCCCCTCTTTCGTTGATAGTAATCGTTCCTTATTTATTTAAAGAAATAAAAAAAGAAAGATAATAATAGTGATCTCAGTTATTATCTTTTCGATTTTGAGAGACTTTAACGATATCAGTAAAAAAAATTCAAACTTTTAAAAAATAAAAATAAAAAAATATGAATTTCATTAGTAACAATGACGAGTTATACATTAACGAATTTATATGTGGTAGTTACAACAACAATAACATGGTAAATATTATTTTTATTTTAAATATTATTAAGATGTAAAATTAATATATTTAAATCTCTAATAATACTTTTGTATTTCAGTTTTCTCCCATGCAATCACCTGTTACTCCGATTGCTACAACTTTGAAGCATGAAAATACTTCTTTAGTAATTATCCTTTTTTTTTTTTATTCTTTATTCTTTATATTTGTTCTTTTTATTTATTCTTTATATTTATTTATTTATTTATTTATTTATTTTAGCATCTAATTTGTGACCCTGTCATTACGCAAATTGGTGAAGAAAAACCTCAAATGTTATCACCCCCCGCCACACCGCATTCAACACCACATCATCCATCGCGTCATATTTTATCATCTGTAGAAACTCCTAAAAAAAGTCCAATTACAAAATCACTCAAGGTTAATGTTAGCAACAATAATGTTGCTACTTCTACTAATACTGTTGATGCTGCTGTTGCCGAAGTTTCTTCTCCAGCACTTTCTTCTTCTACTGTTACAACAACTACTGCCAGTACTGCTCCAATTAAAGTAACTGCAACCACAAATGATCAAGAAGAAGAAAATTTGAACCCTAAACAAATTAATCGTATTATAAAAAGAAGAATTGCTCGTGAAAAGTTTAAGAAAAAACATAACATTCCCAAACAACGCAAAGTAAGTTAAAAAATCATTTAATTTTTTCTCAATTTATTTATATTATTTATACATTTATTGACTTTATCTCTTCGAAATTCTTTTATTTTTTATTTAGCCCTACATACATGAATCTAGACACATTCACGCTTTACGTCGTCCACGAGGCCCTGGTGGTCGTTTCTTAACAAACTCGGCAGAAAAAGTTCTCCAAACTTATAATAATAATATTAATTCAACTTGCCATTTTGATCCTTATAATACTTCACCGCAGCAACAACAACAATATATAGAAAACCCTTGGGGATTTATGGCGAATAACATGAACATGAACATGAATGCAGCTATGATGAATAGCATGAACATGAATGCTGTTGACATTAATACAATTAATGCCATGAATCCTTATAATCTTGTAATTGATCATACTGATGATTGTTCATCTGCAACTTCATCTTCATTATCCTCGCCGACTTCCTATCATCCAACTACGATAACCACAAAAATCGATGATGAACCGATTTATACTCATGATACTTCCATCCCCGAATTATATGTATTACCTTTTGGAACAACTTCACCAACAACCACTTATTCTTCGCCGCCCTTTGTTACAAATGATTCCAATAATGCTGTTATTAATAATACAGTGATCAATAATGCAGCTAATTACGTTTGGGATAATTCCATTAATTTAATTTAGATTTTTAATTTATTTATTTATTATATAAAAGGCGCAGTCTCAAAAATTACATTTTCTTTTCTTTTTTTTAAAAAAAAAATTTTTTTTGTACATAGGCAAATCTGAATAATCGTTTTTTTTTCGTTTTTTCTTTTTTTTTTTCTTAGGATAAATTTAATAGATTTTTTTCGCATATACTACTTAAAAATTTTCTTTTCGCATACATACACAAATTGGCATTATAAAAATTGGCATAACAAAATTTTCGCATATCGCATGTTTTTTAAAGCATATAAAAAATACCTATAGAATTTTCATTTTTCTTTTTTATTATTATTTTTTAATTTATTTTTCTCATAAAATCCATCTTTCAATTTTTACACACGCATTTATTTATAGATTTCAAAAAAAAAAATATCCTCCCTTTTTTTTTTAAAAAAAAAAAAAAAATCACCATTAACCACTACATAAGATTTAATTAAATTAATTTTTCGCAAAATTTTCCTTTATCCTTTGATGATTTGATGATGATAATTAATAATACCCATTTTATATTTAAAAAAAACAAATCCAAAAACTAAAATTATGCTTTAATAAAAAATAAAACAATTCGGAGCCTCTATTTTAGAGGCTGACTTATAATTATGTAACTCTTTATTTTCTACCGATGAATTTGTTTGAAATAATAATTTCATAATTCTTTTTTTCCTTACATTGCATATTTGATCTTGACCTTTTATTAATTTTACCTTTTATTTTTGACCTTTTTATCAAATGTCACCATTATTATTGTTCTTATAAATTACACTAATTACACGTATACGATTCCGTTATTGTTATGTATTTTACGATATAGTTATTTTAGGTTCAGATGATCTCCGATAATAATGCTAGACGAAATACATATACTTAGATACAATAGTTAATTTATAATAATTCGTAATAATAAACTAATAAAGAATTATAGAAATCGTGGTTTTATTATTTCGTTCGAAACAAAAAAAAAATATATATATATTTTATTATTTCTCGTGTTTGTGTTTGTCTAAAATGTTCTATGTTTGTTAATACGTGTTTGAGGTGACAAACTAATCTATCTCGTCGGAATAAAGAAAGAGTATTATATAATATACCGTTTACTATACTATACATTATTGATTATTGTGTTCAAACCTTAACTTGATTAAAGCCAAATATTTCGTATTTCTAATTACTATAATAACATTTGAACCTTTTTGAACGACGAATACGAACAGCAACAGTTTGCTTTTTTTTTTCTAAAAAAACAATGATAATAAAAGTAGTAACGGTGGTGGTGGTACAAGCCAGTCATGCTATGCAAAATCATACGAGTAATGAAAAAGATATTTTTTAAAAATGGTACTACACGCGTATGTAATCAAACATGAATTTGTAATTAAATTTAGCCTTTTAAAAACAATTAACAGATAATATTTTGTTTAAAGGGACAGTATAAATATTTATATTTAAAAATATATTTATCTTACATTAATAATATAAATATATATCTATATTTTATGAGGCAGAAATGGTTAGTCAATGCAAGATTCAAAGAAACATGCAATAGAGAAAAATAAAATCTATAAATATGTAATAATAATTTTTAATTTTTTTTTAAAGAATACAATAGAAAAAAAAAAGCAGGCTAAAAGCAAAATCTTAGATTATTATTCATTATCAATTTTTTACTGCAGAAAAAAAAAATACTCGTACTATAAAATATAGTAATATATATTTTTCAACATTACTAACTACAATTATTACTTTGAACAGTGTATACTTTAGTTTACTTAATTTACTCGTGTATATACCTACTTTTTTTTTTTTATTACAATTTTTGGGGAAATGTTTTGAAGTTATGGTAATAGATTGTTTTTAAAAAAAAGATTTTACTCTTGAGATTGAGATTGCATATCAATTTATAATCTATTGTCTTTCCCCATATTATTATTAATAGTTCAGTAAAAAAAAAGGTTAAATTATTGTGAGCACTGCATAATAATTATTTATTATATCTTCAAAATTAGACAGATTAGAAGAAATATTAATCTTAACTTTAACGATTTCTGTACATTCGCCTTTCCAAAATTATTTCTCTTTTTTTTTTCAAACTGTATTTATTCAATAGTATTCATTAAACTGTATTTTATTTAACTGTATTTATTTATTATCTGTTGACATACAGTACATAAGGTAATCTTCTTCTTTTTGTATTTACATACATATTTATTACATAAATCTTTTTGTAAAACAAACAACCCAAAAAAAAAATAAATTTATGTAAAATTTTATGTATTATATAATTAAAAGAATTCAGTATAATTTAGATAACTTTATTACAGGTACACATATTCTTATTATTTTCACAGGCTAATACTAAAATATTTATTTTTATTATTTTTAATTAAAAATGACATGTTAAAGCTTATTTATATATATTTTTAATATCATTTGTTTATTTTCAAAAAAAAATTTTTGACTTAACTTTTTATTTTTTGTAATTCATAAAATGTATTGTCTTTTTTTTTCAAATATTATTTATAGCGTTTGAAGTTTATTATTATATTAAGTAGTGTATCATGTAAAATTTATAAACTCTACCCTATAAAAATTAGCTTATTATATTTGTGTACTATACTATATATGTATTAACTTTTGTTTTTGTCCTGTAAATAGATAGATTATTCTGTAATAATAAAAACATTCAATAAATTATCTGATAATACAATACTAGAGCTATTGATACTTACAATATTTAGAGGTTTTGAATGAATGAACTACAAATAATTGTTTATAATTTCATCTATTATTATACAAAAATGCTTGAAAAATATCAAATAAAATCAGGAATGATAGATAGACAAATTAAGATAAAATTAAAGAATACATAAAAATACTATTTTGATCATGATCAATCATAAAATATATTGGTATAATAAAAAGGAAAATTTTAAAATTATTCATAGAAGATAGCTTTGAACTATCATACTACATATAAAAATTGTTTGTACAATGAAATTTAATAGTAGCTTCTTTTGAACTATCACATGATCTTCGCATAAATAGACCCCGGGTCTAGACCTTTATCCATATACTCGTCGAATAGTTGTGCACGTTACTTAAAAAAATAATGTATCAAAAAATAACCATAGATGTATCAAAACGATACTTTTTTTGCATTTTTTAATAATAAAGTGTTGATTTTTACAAAAAATTTATTTATTGAAAATTGATCGCAGCATGGTTAAAAAAAATAAATATTAATAACTTGTAAAATTTTATCCAATCGCTCACCTTAAGACTTATAATATATATTTGTTATTTTTTTTTATAATCCTTTATTATGTAAATATTCTTTTTCTCCAAAGTTCAATATAGTCATCTGCTTTTCGGTTTTCGTTATTTTCAGTTCAATTTAGCAATAAAGAACTTTAGTTCGTAGTCAAAGGTATTATATATATAATTATTTTACTTAAGCATCAGGGAATTTTATTAGCCGAAAATTTGCACTAATTTTCACCACCTGCGAAAATTTGCGCAAGTTTTTTATGCGTTTTTTCCGTTTTTTCGACTTCGCTCGCGGTTTGCGAGGCACAGAGATTTTCTACTAGGAGATAGATAGAACGACCTTGCTCTTAGCTACAAAATGGTATGTATTTCATTCATGTATCATCGATATTCGCGGAGATCATACGGTTAAAAAAAAACCATTTGTGAAAAAATCATGCAAAATTGCGGAGATTTGCGAAAGATTTTCGCGGAGATTTTCACAGCGCAAAATTTTCGCAAATTTCCGTTAATTCTCGTACGATTTTTTCACAAATTTTTTTTTTTAAACCGTTCAATCTCCGCGAATATCAATGCTACAGGAATGAAACACATACTGTTTTGTAGTCAAGAACAAGGTCGTTCTATATATCTTAGAAATAGTTTAGTAGAAAATCTGTCTGTACCTCAAAAATTGCGAGCGAAGTTGAAAAACAGAAAAAAAACACATAAAAAACTTGCGCAAATTTTCGCAGGTAGTGAAAATTATCGCCTAATAAAATTTCTAGTTCAACTAGTTTTGTACTTATCATCTCTAGTTGAAGTAATGGATCGATTGAATCTGAAAAATATTACTCTGTTTATTATTAAGATTTATGAACAAAATATCACAATAATGCTAAGTATAACTCTAAAATTCACAAAATTTTTTTTGCCTTCTCACTAATTAGTAATACTCAATCAAATAGGACCAATTATATATTCAGTGGTTGTAAAATATATTTTTTTTTTGTTATTCACTGTTAATACATTGTTATTTATTGTTGAAATATTGTCATTCACTTTCGATACACTGTTATTCATTAATGAAACTAGGGGTGAAGAAATATGAACACCTCAGGCATACGGCATGGGAATGTGCCATATGTTGAATACCGAATGATGCACCGTATGCCGTACGTGTCATATTCCACATGAGATGCCGTATGTCGTTATATAATATGCAATTAAATATAATCGATTATGTAAAAACTTTAAATATAATTATCATTCTTTTTATGCAAGATCTATTTTTTTTACTAATAAAACTTTATACCAGTAACTTTTTTGATGATTTATAATAAAAAATGCATTTTGTGTAAAAACGATTGATAATTATTTTAGTTTTTATTTTAAATAATCATGACATGGTATATGATTATATGACTTTCGATCATATGACTAATATAAATTGTGGCTCATAACTCACTTACTCATCCGCAAAATTTTAAAATTACAATAATCCAAAAATGCTTTTGTAATTCGTAATTTTTGTATAAAAAAACATGCGGCTTAGGAGCAGTTCAAATTAAACCTGAATGTTATACTTCAAATTGAACACGTTTATTTCATACCATTTATTTTCATTCAAAAAAAAAAAAAATCAGTAAATAAATAGACCATTTTGAAGGTAGGACAATGTTGTGATGTAAACATGTAGTTGTGATTTTATTGATTTATATTATAAATTTTAACCATGTGTTATGCATTGGTATATTGTATTCCAGGTAGAATACAGTCCTCTAAGGATCACTGTAATATATATCACGAACATGAAAAACTATCTATGTAAATCGCAAGTTTTATTTGTTATTAAATGTATTTCCAAGGCAAGCAAATCAACAGAGTAATTGACAATTTAGGGAATTATGGTGGAGTTAATCTCACTAACATAGGTGCGGTAATCAGGTGATATATTGAAATACTTTAACAATTAAATATTCAACTTAATTTTGAAATATATTTCTTGTCCTCTATCTTTAAAAATACTACTATAAAGAGCATATATTTTTCATTAATTCTTCTACATTCGAGATTTTTTCCTAATTTATTTTCAGACTTGATAAGTACTTTCTCTTTCTTTTTTTACTAGATGATTTATTTCTAGGCTCACTGGGGATATTTATTTCGGAAGAAATTGCACTTTGTATCTGATTAATTTTTCATATATATTGTATATATATGTATATGGTAGCTCATGAAACCGTGAACATTGTTCACGATCAGATGTTCACGGTTTTAGTTTAGGTCGAAATTTTGAATAACCTATAAAAAATATTATAAAAATGCAATCTGATTCCGTGCCTCTCTGAAATAGACAAATTATATTTTATAATTTATACAATATGATGATATCATGATAGTATTGCACCAAATATTTAAATAACCTTTATTGAAAGCAATTTAACTAATTCTATTTGATAAATTTTTTAATATATTTCTTTATAAATATTATTCACAAGATTGATAAAAAAATATAAAGATAGTAAAATGCAAATATTTAAATATTTAGAATCATCATCTAAACAAAAATATATTCACATTTAATACTTCAGGTGCTATATAATGGTAATACACCAAATATAATTTTCTTATCGTCCTATTACTTACTTAAGTCAAAAGTCTGACTGGAATATATATATATTATTATTTTCTAATAAAGTATTCCCAGGATGTACATAAAACATTTTTGAGAGGTTATTAACGTTTATAATTCAAAAGATTATAATATAAAATTACTGAAACACAACAAAGTATATTATTAGACCAAGATCTTGTAGAAGCAGCTAATTTATAAAGAACTAGCTGAAGATTATGAATTTTCCGAAGCCTTGGATATTCGCAAATGATTTTAACCAAAAGCTACAGATAATGGCTCAATTTAAATTGAGAAGATGAGATTTAATTAAGTATTTAAAATTAGCAGCAGCATCTTGTGATAATTAATTAATATGCTATTGAGTTGCTTAAACATTTTCAATACCAGATGAAGATAAACCTTTCCTTTTAACAAACAAACAAGAACTTAGAAGATCAAGTTGAAACCAACATTTTAATTTGCTTGACTGTATCCAATTCAAAAGTCTAATTTATTATCAGTAGTAATTACTGTATATTTGGAATGAATTATATTGGTCAACTTTCTCAAATTTTTTTCAGTGGAATTCAAAAGTATATTTTTGACATTAGCTACTTCACATATTTAAGTTGAAAAACTCATTAACTTATAAACAACAAAGTATTATCTTTCATATATTATGGTTCTTTTTGGGTCAATAGAAATTTGACATATCTATTCTGAAAATGCTTGAAAAATTATTTGATGATGAATTTGAAGTTGTGAGCCATGTAAATAACTCCTTTCCTATCGATAAAGACATGAGTGCACTCATTATGAGTCTCCAATTAAAATTATTTAATGACAACAATAAAAAAGAAATTTCAGAAGAAAAGACAGTTAGTTATGGCAACAGTGATACAGTATAGAAATCTCACCACGGAAATCGAGAAGAAAAAATGACAGCAATAGTAAAAGAAAAAAAAGAAATAAAAATGATGATAGTGAGAATAGTGATCATATCAAATACATAAATGGTAATATCGGATGAGAATTTCAGATATGTTTTCAATTTTTTAACAGCAAATTCTCTATAAATACTTCCCGAGTTTTTTTTTTCGATTTTTAAGATTTAGATATGATAAAAATAAACTTGCTTTGTACTTTCTTCCGCAGTTTTTAGATTTTGCTATCATAAATCAATATAATATAAATATATATATCTCTTTCAATTTCAACATCGCTAATTAGTATAATACATGATTTCAATTCTTATTCTAAAGCGATTTTGTTATTATTAACTAAAGAGTATAAATTAAGCTATGGCAAAAATAAACTTGCTTTTCAAGTTACACTACATCTACAAGTAATTTAAGTCTACTAAATCCTGTCTTGTAAATGAATTAAAAAGAACTTGAAGAATCTTTTCATGTATTTTTCATAGCATAATTAATCATATTAATTTATTTCTAAATATTAGTCATAATTAATATAAATTTGTTTGAATTGATTAATTAGCTTAGTCTATGGTCAAAATAAAAATTATAGTTTCTAATTCTAACATTGTATAGAAATACTTCATCTTGAGTCTCAGTTATCTATATATAACATGCTTAATCAGAGTTGCAATTAATATAAACAAGCCTTCGTTTAGCTTAGTTATTATTATTAAAAAAAAGGATATAATAAGTTTCAGAAACTTTTGATTCATATCTGTGTAAAATATTTATTAGCAAAAATGCAATTTAATAATTTGTCTTGTTATTACACAGATAGATACATATAATTAAACATTCCTTTGTAAAAAAAAAAAATAGAAAAGAAACCTTTTTACTTTAATATATAATTAATTGTGATACTTCCTTCTCTTATCGGCATTTCTCCAAAAAAAAAAGTTTTTATACAATTTATAAAGTCAAGATAACTCCATAACTTCCTAAATTTTTGCGATCTATTCTATTAGATATGTATATGTATATCCATCTTTTCACTAAAATGGAATACAGTATTCACAATTATATGTTGACGCTATTGCTTTTTTGCTTCTTAAATGATGCTGACAAATTTTTTAATATCAGTTATTACTATTATCAATTAAGTATTTGAAAGCTTCACGCGTATAATAATATTATCAAAATTATCAAAATTGGAGATGTAAGATCGACAAACTGATTAGACTGTTTTGGCTATGAAACGAAAAAAAAAGAGATAACTTCCTTATAAAGCTCTAAAATAATAAACACGAGCGATAAAATAAAAACTCATGTATTCCTGAGTTACGTGTGTGTGACATAAATGTTTATTTCGAAATTTTGGTTTGCTTTTAAGCTTTAAAATTAAGGATTTTCTTACTCGAAAAGGTAAGTATACTCTGGAAACACACAAACACTTCTAACCTTTTTGATATTTTTTTCTGCAATGTAATTAAATGTAATAAAGAAAAAATTTGACAATATTTCGTTTAAATAAAACCACGATTTATCTTAAAACGCTTGATATTTGATTTAAACCTCTGGATTTTGAAACATTAAATGATTAATAAATTATATATGTTAATAAAATAATATATTAAGTAAATAATAGGGAAAAAATAAAGTTTCAAAACCTTTTTGCGTGTGTCACTAGTAATCGTTCAATGCTTCAAGTTTGAAAATTAAAGTTCTCAACGAAAAAATTTATGGTTACATCGTGAAATGTGGTACGAAGCTATTAAATTTGTTGTGCAAACGTGCTTTCCAGTTTAATATAAAAGCCTCCCGGGTCTGTCAAATTTTGTCATTAATTATCTTGTACATATAGAGAAACATTTTATCATTTCAAATATATATTACTACTATTGTGATATTTTGTAATAAATGTTAAAAAATTATTTTAAAAGTATTATCTAATAATATATCAGGTATGCTATGCCGTTATTTTTAAGTTTGAGAAAATTCTTTTAATATTAAAATTTATTTTTAAAAGTTTTTTTTTAAAAAATCATGATTATTGATTATTAATATTAAACACAAATTCCATTACACTCATCAGACATTACACTCATCAGAGAAATAATGACATCATCAAATTTAAATAAAAATGGTTCACATAACAATTTAACAAATTCAATGCATAAAACTCGTAACCGTCCAAAACCTTTATCACATAACTCACGTCAGACTCTGGGTGTATCTCATTTACCTACTCCTTCACCAACACCGAAATCACCTTGTTTTGTTCATTCTAATCTTAATCGATCATTCTCGTTATCCGAAATTATTAATAATTGTGATGATAAACTCACGGAATATTCAAATTTAGCTGAGACTGCAGTTAGTGTAAGAGAATTATCAAAAAAACTTGGTATGTCATTATTTCTATTCGTTCAAATTTTTTTATCTTTTTATTAATTTTCAATTATAATAATCATAATAATTATATTAATTATAATAATTATATTAATTATAATAAATAGGTCAAGCTCAAATTCAAATTGGTATGCAAACTGTTATGATAGTCACGAAACCAGGGAATTTACGTTTGGTTAATCTTACTCGTAAATTAGCCATTTATTTAATCACCACCCCTCGTTTTGGTAAAGATCATGGTGTCACCGTGTATGTGGATAAAGCTTTAAAAGATGTTAAGCAATTTGATTTTCAAGGAATATTAGAAGAAAAACCACTTGCAAAGGACTATTTAAAATTTTGGACAAAAGAATTATGTGCTGAAAGACCAGAGATATTTAATTTTGTTCTTACAGTAAGTTTAAGTAAATAGACATTATTATTATCCTATAAAACGTATACTTATTATTATTATTTATTTATTTATTTATTTTTTTTTTTATATTTAAATAAATAGCTCGGAGGTGATGGAACAGTATTATATACTTCTTGGTTATTTCAAAAAGTAGTACCACCAATTTTACCTTTTCATCTTGGTTCTCTGGGATTTTTAACGAATTTTAATATTCAAAATTATAAAGAACACCTTACAAATGCAATGGAAAAAGGTATTCGAGTAAATCTTCGAATGCGATTTACTTGTACAGTTTATCGTCGTATCATAAATCCTGATAATATTATTAAAGCAAGACGCTGTGGAGAAACTGGAGAAATCTTGATGCAAAATTTTATGAATGATGGAAGTTATTGGGAAGCTCTTGAAAATAGTTCACATTCTGATACTGCTCACAAATGTTCTCATGACAAAGATTTACCATTATTGATTACTCAACCTGTAGAATCATTTGAGGTTTTAAATGATTTGGTTGTAGATCGTGGAGCTGGTCCTTATATGAGTATGCTTGAATTATTTGG